CCCTATCAAGATGAATCTATGGTCAAGGAATTTATATTTACCCTCTTGATAGGGTATCAAGAGAAGTCTTTATTAAGAAGAGAACTAATAGTTACCCTCTTGATAGGTTAGTAAGAGGAATCCCTATCAAGACGAATATATAGTCAAGATAAACGTGAGGAACTTATTGTCAAGGTAAATAATAGGAAATAGACTTTGGAAACGCTGTTATATAGATGAAAAAGTGTCATTATGCTGTTATTTAGGTAGTATAGTGGTATTTTAAGATTTTGTAGGTGAAAAAGTGTCATTATGCCACATTTGGGTGGGAAAATGTAGTTAACTCACTACAGCCTTTGACTACGAGTCGTTTTGCAGTACCACCAATATCTTCTAATTTCATTATATAAATCATTTTAGCTATGTCAATGCAAAGTTATTAAGGTAGGTGGGAGTGTTGAAATTAGTCACTCCTAGATGGACTTGTTCGCTTTCATAATCACCCTCTAATTAATCAACTTCTTCCGTTCAATTCATTTTCATAGCGTCTTTGGTCCCTTTTGAGTTTTTTTTTTTTTTTCGTTTCAAAGATTTTTAGCTCTATACTTGTTATAAGAGTAATACTACATTTACAAAGACTATATAATGTCATTTATACAAAATTACATAGTAATACTTTTGCATTAACATATCATTCACTACTATCATTTAATATGCCTTTTTTAAGTTGATTTTTCTATTAATTCATCTTAATCCAATCATATTTTGACACGTCACTTTATATAAAATACTTTATATAGTCTTTGCAAATGTGATATTATTCTTTTTTATAAAGTGGACATGTCATTAGTTATATTTATTGGGATCAAACTTTGTATATATAACATTATTAAATAAAAAAATCTAATATATACAAATTTATTGACCTCTGTTCACAATGTTTTAGGTATAGATTTGTTGGTCCAAATGTCAGGAAAAAATGATTTGTGCTTTGGTTATTACTTTAGGTATAGATTTGTTGCTGCTTTTCGTATCCATGTAATTTCTTTTGTGATAGTAATTACAATAATTTTTAGGTAACAGAACTTCAATTTATTATTATCATGTTTCGCTATTATGCTTGATACGACAATAACACTTGAGAGTCAACTCAAAGAGGAAAAGTACTCTTTTTCATTTTTAGAGGGATAATTAATTTGTAGAATCGTGTAAAGACCTAAACCCTTTGTAGGGGAGGAGAAGGAACTAAACGTCAAGATAGAAAACGACTCTTGATAAAGTAGTGATAGCAAGAGGAGGAAGAATTAAGATAAAAACTCTTGGTAAGGTAGCAAGAGAAACTTATAATCAAAATAATACAAGGAACTTAGGTGCATTTGATTCAGGGAATTATATATTAATGGAAAAATAGATTACCTTGAAGATTATTGTACATGTTTAAGGAAATATATGTTTGGTTAGTTAGAATAAATTGGTGGATATGTTATATTACTATGTTTGGTTAGGAAGAAAATATTGGTGGGTATGTTATATAATTTACTAAATTGCTCTCCTTTTTAAATATTAATATAATATTATTTTTATTATTATTTTTTGAATAATTTCTTTTAACCCCCTATATTTCAGATTTAGCTAAAACACTACAGCAACAAAAAAGTTTAAAACTTAACAAAAACACCCCCACCCACCCCAAGCCATTACCGACAGTTGCGAAAGTGGAGATTTGGCTGTGAAAGGCCAAATCTAGCTGTTTTTTAGCATGGATCACAGATCCACGGCCACAGATCTGGCCATGAAAGGCTAGAAACAGTCTTATCGGTGCACGATTGACCAGATATGGCCAGTCGTGCGCCATTCCATCGCCGTCGGCAATGGTTTTCAACGACTGATGGTGGTGGCCAGATCCAGCCACCACCCTTGGGTAATTTTGTATAATTTCAGGGGTATTTATGTCTAAAAAACTTTATATATAAGGATAAAATAGTCAATTGGTATTTTTGTAAATTGTTTTTAAAACAAGGGCATTATTGTCCTAAAATTTTATCAATAAGGGGTCGTTTGGATCAAGTTAATATTAGATAACTAGGGTAATATTTTTTAAATTGAGCAGATGACGATGTTTGGTTGGTTTGTAAAAAATTATTCCCAGAATATTTTATGACAAACAGTAGCATTTGGGGGGTATATTTCTGGGAATCTTAATATCGGGGGGGGTGGGCTATTATTAAAACTTACCCTGGTATTACAATTTTTTTTCCCATGTTGCCCCTAAACAGTTGAGCATTTGGTCCAAATTAACCTTATATTTGTTAATATTTATAAAACACCCAATCACTCATGCTGACACTTTTGTCCTCACTTTTTAAATTTTTTGGACGACATTGCCCTTGTTATTGTCATTATTTACAGAAATGCCATTATACCCAGAACGAGCCACCACCGGCAACCATCGTTGACTGCTGCCAAAGGCTACCAAAAGTCGTCATAATGGCGTACAATCGGTCGTATATGGTCGGCCATGCGCCAGTGAGGCTTTTTCCGACCATGGATCGAAAAAAGTTAGATCTGGCTGTTTCACGACCAGATCATGGTCGTTTCACGGCCAAGGATGTGGTCGTGAAACGATGACTAATCTAATTGTGAAACAGCTAGGTCTTTGGCCATGAAACTGCTAGCGTTTCACAGCCAAAGACCTAACCATTTCAGAGCCACATCTCTAGCCATGAAACGGCCATACACAATCATAGATCTGGCCGTTTCTGTGGCACTTTCGGCATCACAGCCGGATTTGTGGCATTGCCAGCGGTAGTGGCTAGCGACAGTGGCTTGGAGTGGGTAAGGGTGTTTTTGTTAATTTTAAAATGTTTTTGATTGCTAGGGTGTTTTTGCAAAATCAGAAAAGTAGGGGGTTAAAAAGAATTATTCAAAAAATAATAATAAAAAATACCGTTATATTAATATTTAAAAAGAAGGGCAATTTAGTAATCTATATATCATACCTAGGTGTGCATACGAGCCGAGCCGAGCCGAGCCAAGTAGTGGCCGGCTCGAGCTCGGCTCGGTGAGATAAGGTGGGAGCTCGAGCTCGAGCTCGAGCTCGTCGAGCTCCAGCTTATGAGCTCGAGCTTGGCTCGTCAATTAAATTACATGGCTCGAGCTCGACTCGACTCGACTCGTCAAGTTCTGAGCCTAACCGAGCCAAGTCGAGCCGAGTTCGAGCTCGAGCCAAGCTCGTTTGCAGCTTTTTCCCAGCAAAACAAAGCACAGCGTCTTCTTCTTCTTCTTTCATTTTCCCAAAACTACCTCTTCTCATCAATGTGAATTACCACTCCAATTTACACCTTCTTCTTCCACAACTCTTTTTCATTCTTTCTCTCTTCAAACCCAGCTTCAACTATTGCAATTATTTTCATTTTTTGTGTAAAATGAACACATCTGTCTCTCATCAACTCAACAACTCATCTGGGTTTTTCTCAAAACACATTTTGGATTGGTAGATTTCTTTAATCAGCAAATCAAAATGAACAAAATCAGTCATTGACGGTAAGGGAATCAAAGGTTATTTTGTTAGTGGAACTCGCTTACCTCATGGCAACGACGTGGTGCATACCTTGCCTGAAACTTTTTATGTGGTGGATTTTTGAACCTTTTAATTCTGGACCTGATCAAATTCTTTAGTTTTCTTCATCGCATATGATTGATCTTTATGAAAAAGAAACACCTTGTAGAGTGTATGAAACAAGATATGTTTAAGAGAAATTGGACCCAAGTCAACCTGGGGGTTTACTTTGAAAACAACTGCAGCTTTGAAGATCAAAGAAAAAAAAGTTATTTTCCACTGAACGATAAAAGTTTTTTTCATCTAGGACTCAAAGTCATTCTCCAAGTATTATTCAGATCCTTTAGTTTTTCTGAACGTGTTAAACAATTCGATTCCAATTTCCAAGTATTATTCAGATTTTTCTGTAGTAGATGCCCTCCAAAAGCTGATGATTCAAGTGGGTTCCGTAATGTAATATTCTAGATATACAAATACATATAATATATTGTATTCCAACGACTTCAGAACATCTCTAAGGCTGCTCTATGCCTATACCATAAACCAGATTAGTCTAAAATTCTTAAAATAATTGTCATTTAAAACGAGTTTAATATATTAATGTATAAGTGGTATATATATTCGGACGCATATGGGTCCAGATATATATATAAAAATTGGGAATATATAATATTGTTATTGGAGGAAAGTTACAAGAAGAAAGGAATGACTAATGTAATTATCAAAGCCACTGCATTTTAGAGAGGCCAATGGACAAATACTAGAAAACAAAAACTGATTGCATGTGGAGGAAATTGTCAGCGGCATTAATGAAAGACAAATCACGAGCAGAGTGTAGAGAACCCTCAAGAATGCATGCTTTACTGATATATAATGAATAAAAACAGTCCAGATCATCACGAGCGGAGTGTAGAGAAGGGATGGGGAAGAACGTATTCAGTGCTCCATTGTGATAAAACAGGAGAAGGGTAGAGTTTTCAATTTCTGATAAACAAGAGAAGGATTGGCCGTGCAAAAATGGGTAAACAAATCATATGATAGCACCATCAACTTAGGAAAAAAATAAAAAATATAAACCAAAGTGCAATCCAGACAACATTTACTAATAATTAATTCTTCACTCTAGCTTCTCCAGTTCCCCCATTCTCTCAATGAACACAAAGCATGAAAGTGATGCCCGTTAATGTAACCAGTCAAGCCTCTAGGCATCAAACAGAGACCAATGATTGGATCCTGTCATCACCTAGGGTGGTGAAATTTTAGAAAATGGGAGAGGCTACCCAAACTGTTTCAATATATCAACAGTTCATGGAAAGGGGCTAAAGGGGACTACAAAGCACCAATACTAGGGGCTCCAAAATAGCTAGAATGAATGACAAGTTCAGTACCAAAAACACCAATAAGTAACTAAAGATCCAAGAAGGAAAAAAAACACATAGAAAAAGAAATTATTGAAACAAGAAATATTCCCAGTAGATGTGAAAATCAGGGATACAATTATACATAACAATTCATCAAAATGCTCACAAACAAAGTCTTTTAAGATACATTTGAATTTGCCTCCATGCTCGAATTTCCCCAGCTTTCCACGCTTGAACTTGCCACCATAATGCTGCCCGCCATACCCAAAATTTCCCCAGATATATGGATTAGTGCAAACTAGCAAAATTTAATCAAACTAATTTCTCATAAAAAGTTCAACATTTACTATCACTAACCTGTCAAGATTCCACCAAAACTTGATAGGATCGGAAGCTAAAACTCCCTATTTGTCTTCTGTTTCTAAACAACAAAAAGGAAAATATATTGTTTTAGTTTCAATAATGTTAATATATGACCAAATTAATCCATAATTTTAATAAAATGGACTATAGAAATATGAAACTTACTTTGTAACTTTTCTTGACTCCATAGAGATTGAGACACCAATCACCACCACAGAGTAGCATTTGCACGGTATCGGGAGACAACGATGATCGATAAGTGTCAATAACTCGACTCCCTGCACTGAAAGTTGCCTCTGAAGCGACCGTGGTGATTGGAATAGCAAGTATTTCACGAGCCATCTTAGATAGAATGCGATAGTTCGTTTGATTTACCTTCCACCACTGTAACGCATCAAATGAGGTATCATCCTCGTCCCATAACAAACATTTCTCCTCTAAATAACGATCTAACTCAGATTTCTCATGTTGCATCGTTTCAGTTGTCCTAACAAATTGACAGAACCGTGAACTAGAACGTTTAGGGCATTGTACATTGTCCCGTTGAACTTGACTGATTTGCACAGGTGGTTCACTATTGGCAGATTGAGTTTCTGCTGCATATTCCTCATAAATCTCATACAAGGCAGCTTGCACTTCATCCATTTTGGCTTGTGCTTCTTCATTAGGATACATTTGTGGGTAGGCAAATTCCAACATCCTCATTTTCATCCTCGGATCCAATACAGCTGCAATTGCCATTACGAAATTGCATTCCCCCCAATACTTGTCAAACTTTTCTTTCATCTTTCCCACCATTGACCGAATGAAATCATCATCATCAGAACACTTTTCATCTAGCAACTCTTTTATGTCAACAATTTCTTGCAAAAATAAGTTAGAAGTGGGGTACTCACTCCCCGATATGACATTAGTTGCCGAGTTGAATGCTTCCAAAATCTCACACACTTTCTTTAGGTTTTCCCAATCTTCATCTCTTGGGGCAAAGGTAAAGTTATTATCCAACTGAACTAACATTGGAAACACATCTCTATAATCAATTGCAAGTTTCAACATCTGATAAGTAGAATTCCACCTCGTTTTGCAATCAAGTATGAGTTTCCGTTTGGGCAACTGAAACATTTGAACAATCTCTACAAACATAATTGCTCTAGTCTCTTATTGCTTGACATACAAAATACAGTCACGTATGTCTTGAATGATGGGCTTAATCTGGGAAAGCCCATCCTGAACCATGAGAATCAATATGTGTGCCGCGCACCGCACATGAAACAACTTCCCACCACACAGTAGCTTCTTGTTTCTTCCCAAATTATCCTTCAAAATCTTGATTGTCATATCATTACTTGAAGCATTGTCAACCGAGATATTGAACACCTTGTTCTCAATTCCCCATTCAATTAAACACTTATGAATAGTAGCAGCAATCTCAACACCAGGTCGAGGAGCCGGTATATAAACAAAATGGAGCACACGCTTCTGTAACTTCCAATCATTATCAATAAAATGTCCAGTGACAACCATGTATTCAAGCTTCTGATTAGAAGAATTCCATAGATCAGTTGTCAAACAAATCTTGGTAATACTCTTAAGCAAAATAACCAACTTCTTCTTTTGTATATCATACACAGTCATACAATGTTGTTTCAAAGCAGTACGCGTTATATTCTCCCATAGTGGCATACCACATTTTTGCATCATGTTAAAACCCTCCTCCTCCACAACTGTAAATGGATGCTCATGCATGAGCACCCAGTTTGAAGCTAGTTCCTGTATCAAATTCATATCAAACTTGGCATCTGAAAATGCAAGTGCAGATCGCATTGAGATATCATCCGTTGAACTGGGTGGTCGAAAAAACAAATGTGTTTGCATCTGACTACCTATTCGCTTCAAACATGATTTCAAATGTCTTGCAAACTGAGTTGTGCTCTTGGTCTCCGTTATTGCAAGCTTTGCCTTGCAATGAATACACTCTCCCTTTGTAGAACCATCCGATAGAACTACCTCTTTAAATTCATTCCAAACCGGTGATGTCTTTGGTTGTTTTTTCCTCTGAAAAGGATTAACTTGCTCCTCCTCAGTATGAGGGGTAGAAGCATCAACACCATCACCGGGTGTGCCTGTGGGTGTCGCATCGTCATCAAACTAGATTTCAAAGATATCTTCTTCTAGTTGCATTTGTGAAGTGGAAGGGTATGTTGGATTGGGGGTGAATGACGGATGCTCCATTGGAATAAACAAATCCCTCTGCAAAGAGAATATGTAGTCAAAATGCAAAATCAAGTAACTTTGACTTGTTAACTTTTAATACAATAGATGAATAGAATGACATGGTTACTAATTCAACACATCGTTTTAGCTTGTTCCGTAAAATTTTCTCATGTCTTTGTGTGTGACATAAGAGTACAGGCTGATAATATTAGCTATATCAAAATGACAAATGATGCTCTCTTGGGAAATAAATTAATAAAAAGATGTTAGTCATTTTCACCATTAACAATAATCACTTAATTATGAGTAACAAGACGGTCAAAACTCATTTAAAATCTTCAAGAATCAATTGATTGCCAACGCCACGTTAACTTGGTAGCCACTAGTTCAAACAAAAGTAGATGGTTCATGGTTAAGTATTATTTCACACTCGCCTCCGGCAAGAGCTCTGAAGCAATGGCTTATGGGCAGCCGAAATCTTAGTGGCCCATGTTTGAGAGACAAGGTGAAAATGAAGTCAATTTCTGAAGAAGATTTAAGATAGAAGAGATGAATGAAGTCAGACCCCACAATAATTCTTTTTGTTTCTTGCTAATCGCAAAAGTATAAAATAAAGAAGAGAAAGAAAGAAAAATTATCTTACACCTTGAGACTTGAAACATTCACCCCTTTTTTTCTACAACTACAGTTTGAAACTATGGCCTATGATTTACACACAAAAATGTGCCCACCAACTTAATTAGCTTGGAAATTATCAAACAAGTGCATACACCTACCAGATAAAGATCATATCAAAGTTTACGCAAATTACTGCTCAGAGATTTTTTCCAATTTCATATGATCGATATACATACAAGAAATTAAGCCTATTCTCCATCATCAATTTTCTTTCTCTCTCCCAGAAACATGGATATACTTCATATTGTCATCCATTAATCTTTAAGTAGTTTATCAGTTGAACAACAATTGTAGTGGTTTTGTTCAAAAGCACTGCCCAGGTATCTTAATGAGAACGTAGATCATTCACCTTTGACCCTAGCTGGCTTGCTTTGGAATTTACCTCATATTGAAATATTTAAGCTAAATTTTATCAGGAAAAATATATTTATATATATTTACATTACATGCATCACATATCTATGCGTCTAAGCAACTTAAAATAATTAGTAATGTTGATTATTTACATTACATGCATCACATATCGCTGCACTTAATCATGTTTTTCGCTCTTTTGGGACTATTCCAACAAATTAACATCACAGGTTTGCTCTCTTATTCTTTTTATTTCCTCTTTAGAAACTTTCATTCTCTTTCCCTTGCTCATGACAGAACAGTCCAAATATTTATTTTATTATGTTGATTTTCCTTTTCCAGACCCTGATGAAAGCAGCTTTGTAGATTTTTAAAGTGGGGGATAATTTCTGTTCATTTCCATGGCATAGGGAACACAAAATAAAATTGCAACATTTTGACTAACATCTATGATACGTGTAACCATTTGTGTTTATTTAATTCTTTAAGACAAGTCATTATGATCCCAGACAGTCTATCACCATTCACCACTGGCCTTTGCAGCTTTGCACTGAGACATTTATCTGAAATTTTTATTTTCTGTCATAACCAGATTTCTTCATAAACAGAGGATTCAGTTCTCAAACACGACAAGAGCTCCATATATTTTATCAACACTAACCTCATGTACATACATTACTCATTTCCCAAATCTATTATGAAAGTAATAATATTGAAACAATATTAGGTGATTTGTTTAATAACTTGACAGCAAAAAAAATTTTATTTTAGGCAGCAGCTGAACAAACATGTGATATTAGCAATAACTCTTCTCTTAGAGGCATTTCATCAAATAAATAACAACTTCTCTGCAAACTTCCAAAAATTAATGCAACTCATATCACCCATCTTCCAATTTCCAAATACGCAGCAAAGTCAACATAAACCTAGAAGAATTCGTAACTAAAGAGAGAGGAAAACAAAGAAATTTATAATCAACTTAAACAAGTAGAATGAGACTCACTGCAAGAGACAACTTTGGGTGTCAAGAAGTAGGAAAATGTACCTTATGGTAGCAGGGAAGTGAAGAAGGGAAGACGATGGTGGACGGTAGTAGCTGAAGCTGGTCGCTGGTCGGTAGTAGTTGAATGAAGGCTGGATGAAGGCTGGACAATGGTGGTCTCAGATCTTGCGCTGTGTTTTGGAGGTGAATAGCTGAATGTCTGTTTTTGGCCGAAAGAATGACTTGATTTCAGATTTTAGGGCAAATATTAACACAGCTCGATCTCCTGCTTGAATGACGTCTCCAGTTCGTTGAACAGCTCGCGAATAGTTCGAGTCGAGCCTGAAAAGCTCGACAGTTTTCACGAGCTTGACGTTGAGCTCGAACTCGAGAACTACTCGTTCTCCGACGAGTCGAGCCCGAGCTAGTCACTAGTCGAATCCAAGTAGCTCACGAGCTACTCGGTTCGACTGCAGTCCTAATCATACCTACCCATTTATCCTCCCAACCAAACATATTATTCACCAATTTATTCGAACTAACCAAACACATTTTTTAAACGCTCCCAGTAATCTTCAAGGTGATTTTTTATTCCGTTAATATATTATCCCCCTGTAATAAAATATTATATGATTCAAATGCCCACTAAGGGGTAAAATTATAACAAAAATAAGATAATCAAGTAATCTTAAAATATCTAAGAAAATAGAGGGAATCAGATTATCTCTAATATTATTAACAGTAACTACTATTGTTAATTATTAGAATATTACCAAAATTTTATATTACTTGACAATCAAACATGGTAATTAAGTAATATAAAATAATATTACCTCAGTAATCTCATATAACTCCCAACCAAACACTCCTTATAGTCAAGATAGAAACTCTTGATAGGATAGCAAGAGGTGGAAACTTAGTCAAGATATGGTATAGCAAGAGGTGAAACTTATATTGAATATAAACTATGCAAACTCTTGACAAGGTAGCAAGAGGAAGTCAATGTAAACTCTACCATCTCAGAGTCTAAGATAGATGGAAATTAACAAACTTAGGAACACATAAAAATCTAAACCCTTGATAGGGTAGCAAAAATGAAAGTCAAGATAATTAGATATCATGTCCAAGCTTAAGCTTTCATGACTATTTCTAGACAGAAATTATCGTGGAGTGATAGTAGGGATGGACTAGATTCCATATTCCAATGCAACTTTGCTATGATGATCAATCTCATTGAAAATGTTCTTAATTAGGTATAGTAAAATATCTATAGTGAAGAAGTGGCTGTTTTCAATAGGGATATATATTTTAATTTCATCAAAAACATATGAGCTCTATTAGGAATACATGATGAATTAAAGTTTGCAAGTGTCAGCTGCATGGTAAACAAGCAATTGCAAGTGAATTACCAACATTTAGTTAATTAATTGCTTCAATAGTTGTTCCTTTTCTTTGCATTTTACAAGTGGCAGTTCGATAAACTGAATTGTCCTGAAGTCTGTTTACAAAGAGAATACAAAAGCCTCTCTCTTGTTTACACAAATAATATAAGAGACTCTTCTATCTTAATTTACAGGATCTTTTGGAGATCAACTAGTCAAGACCAAATTAGTTTTAAATTTCTCAGAGTAAGTTAGAATTGTCGATTGGTCAATAAACTTAAAATTAAATCAAATTGCAGACTCAATACATTACTCTGCTACATTTTTGTTATTCCAAGAAGAATAACAATGAATTATTTATTGATTGGAAAGGTGAAGTTCCTCAATTAACTCAATTTTATCTTTATACATGATGAATTTGCATCCGTTTCGTCATCGAAGAAATCAAGGGCTCTGGAGGCATTTGTAACACCATTGGCATGGAAGGCCTCTCTCTGAGCATTGTATTGAGTGGTACATAATTTCATGTTAGCACAAAAGCAATGGATGGCAAGTTGCATCTTCCACATTCTTTAATGCCGATTAGTCGGCAGCCAAATTTTATTAACAAATTAAAGATTTAAATCTACTATGCTTCAATTGTGT